AGTTTTGATAGTGGCATGACTAACATGGGACGTGACAGTGTAGGGCTAACAAATAAAGCGTAAAATACATTTTCCAAAATTTAGTTTGCATGTAAGTCTAGTCTTCAAGCCTCAACTACAAAACTGGATAATAGGCGCCCTTCAACTGTTGAAACCGGATAATTTTAATTCATGACTCGTTTCAAAGGTAGGTTCCTATTTTAAAATTTTATAATTAAATTATTTCATTAAATAAAAAATGAATCTATTTCTGATTTTCTTCTAAAAATGTTATCTATCTAGAATTATTCGAATATTATTTGTTTTAAATAAATAATGTGCTCAACCACAAGCTATAAAGAAACAGAAATAGAAATAAATCAGTTTCAAATAACTATATGTAGATCATAAACATGCAGACAACATTTTAAAAAAGAACAAAAATTTCAACCTCCAAGCATATCAGTCTATTTTTTAACCCTAAACTATAAAGGTTGGTACCGAGCATCCTCAAAGTGTTGAACGCAAAAATATTTGGTCATGGCTCATGTGGCTTGTTTCAAAGGTGTTTTTATATAGCGACAATTAGAAGTAAGTAATAATAACCCAAATCTTGAAATTGTAGTGATAATTACTAATTAATAAAAAATAATTTAAACAGTTTTATTGAGGAACTGCATACTGAATATCACAAAAGATATACTTACGAAAGAAATATAAACACATATGATACCAACAAAAGATTATTGTTACTCAGTTTTTAGAGATTGGCATTTGGCACTTCTTCAAGATTCACACAGAGATACCACATATCAAGTCTATTGTTCCACTTACGGACAGGAAGCATACAGTTTCGCAGTAGTATTCAGAAAATACTAGGGATCGTTCTAGCTAATTTCTCTTCATATCTTGCAACTTGCAACGGGTGAAAAAACAGCCACTTGCATGTGCCAATGAAAAAGAAAGGACGCCCCTTTTCATAGACTGTTTGGAACGAAGGAATCCAAAACGCAGGAATATGAAAAACGCAGAAATAAGGTATGATGAAAAGTAAAAAATTATGAGATTTCAAAACACAGAAACAGAAAATTTAGACTGTTAGGAACACAGGAATTTATAACACGAGAATCATAAAATATGTGAATATAAGTGTCATTATTACTGCTAAATGATAGTAATATTTTAGTTGCGTATTTTTTTCATGACTATCTTACACATGGCCCGCATGTCCATGTCCTTACTTATCCACCGAATGAATACGACGGAGACAAATAAAAAAAACCAGCAGACCTCTCTCCTTCAGCCGGTTAGGCTGGTGCTTATGCAATCGTATATAATAGTAGATTATAAGTTAGAATAGTATTTTTCTCTCATACTAAATTAGCCAGCAGTAATAATCCACGATCCAGCAGCATCAGCCGAACAGGCTGCTTATCCTTTCCTAGAAACAAGGCTTCGAGCGGATGCGACCAAGTGAGCGCTCTCTCTCTCTCGCGCTCGCAAGAGCCTCGGTCTTCCGCGAAAACTTTGGCAAGAGTGGGTGTAAAAATTCCCGTGAAACACACGTAGCTGGAAGCCTTTCCTCTAGAACGGAAACTACGAATCCTATGTTTCAAAGACACTCACAGGCTTTCTTTCCGTAGGAATGAAATCCTCCAAAATTCATAGAAAAAACTAGGTTACAAACACGCCCTCAAATCACAGGAAAACCAAGGCCGGCATGCAGGCTCACATACTTTCGCAGACCAAATGCTGCGGTGAACACATGTGGAAAACACATGCTGATGAAAGACGCAAAACACAAGTGGATCACAAAATCATAAACACTAGCTAACACCATGATAAATCACAAATCTCAAGGGAAGGGACACATGCAAGTGCCTAAACTAACACAGCCTTGCTCTTCTCCTGATCGGGGACATCTATCAGGAAAAAAAAACATTGGAAACCTGATGATTCAGTCCGAGTGGTGGCCATAATGCTCCAAATAAAAGCAAGGAGGGAGCATCACGCAGCTGCAATGCTAGCACACGTCGAATCACTAGCTACTAGTTGCATGCAAAGTTCCAAAGCAAACAGGGAGATCGAAAGACGTTTCGCTGTTGCACGACACGAACCGAGACCTGGTTTATTTGCAACCTGAACACTGTAGCGTGTTTTATTTGTATTTGATAAATTTTGTCTGATCATGGATTAACTAGGCTTAAAAGATCCGTCTTGTGATTTACAACTAAACTGTGTAATTAGTTATTTTTTTTACCTACATTTAATGTTCCATATATACGTCTAAAAATTGATGTGATAGAGAGGACGAAAAAACTTGGAATTTAAAGGTAATCTAAATAAGGCCCGAAAGATGTGTTATGATGTGATTCCACATGGATTCCCACACACCCAGAAAAGCTAGGATCGTGTTCAGTCCTAGTCCACAACAGTGCACACCACCTTCTTCCACAGATCACAGAAAGACAGCAGAAACCTGTGCGGAGACGGGCGGGCGTACTGGCTCTGCCCCGACACCGATTGGGTGCGTCACTGTCGTCTCAACATCGGTGGCGGGGTAGGATTCTGTCACGTCAACTGTCGATGTCCTGGTCATCGTCACGTCATTTCTTTAGCCGCGGGCGTGACATAGACGTTTCATCATGTCAAGGAAATAAAAAAATTAAACAGGATTAAATTTAAAATTAATTTAAAAAATATGTTAAAAATAAAAAAAATTCTCCAAAGATCGTGGTGAAGCAGATTGATAAATACGGGAAGCATTGCCTATGGAGAACGTCAAATGTCAATGATAAAGGCCAACCAAAAGCAGCATGGCCTTTAGTTTGCACATCCAAAGATGAAGGGGGCCTGGAGTGATAAACATTGAAGAACAAAACAAGGCTCTACTACTCAAAAACATGCACAAATTCTTCGATAAAGATGAAATTCCATGGGTACAGATAGTTTGGGAAAAGCACTATACAAATGGAAGATTGCCAACCTAAGTCAAAAAAGGGTCATTTTGGTTGAGGGATAATTTAAAAAACATTCAGAGTTTCAAGCAGATGGCACAAATTCAGGTTAAAAGTGGTATAACTTGTCTGTTTTGGAAGGACAATTGGAGAGCACAGAGTTTAGAAGCTGAACTTCCAGAGCTATTTTTCTTTGTCAAAAACAAAAACATTTCCTTAGCATCTGCATGGGATCATGATGATCTGACTCAATTACTGCATCTCCCAATTTTAGAAGCAGCATACAATCAATTGCAATATGTAACTCAAGAAACAGTAGGCTTACAGTTAAGCACAGAGCAAGGCATTTGGCACTATTCTTGGGGGAACAAATTTTTCTTCAAGAGCTTACATGATTTTGATGGGTCACTCACAGCATCACCTTTCCATTCAGTGGATCTGGAAAAGTTACTGCCAGCCAAAACATAAGGTATTCTTTTGGCTTTTGTTGAAAGATAGGCTAAACACAAGGAACATTTTTAAAAGGAGAAATATGACCAATCATACAGCTGTGTTCTCTGTGCCCAAAACATAGAAGAATCAACTCATCATTTCTTCCTGAAATGCGAATTTGGGAGTTCATTGAGGTTGGTATTCCTCCTGATTCAGAATTCCCTGACTGCATGTACTTCCTCAGGGATGCAGTGCTTTCTCAGCTTTACATGGAAGCAGCAATTGTGGTTATTTTTCAACATTTTGTAGTTCCAGAAGTAATCACAACTCTAACTTGGTCCCTCTTGTTGGAAAATTTTCCAGGCTTATGTCTGGTGCTGGTGAAGACATTCATGTGATGCCTACCTCTGATTGGATTATCACACTTTTTTAACGCTCACATGGGGGCCGAGTGTATTCAAGAGGGTTAAATATGCTTGCTTTCTAAGGTAGAGTATCTTGACCTCAAAATAAGGATACTTCAAATACTTGGTAATCAGCCTGTTCGCTTGTTGGTTTCAGCCAGTCTAAACCAGCCAGCCAACAGTGTTTTTCTCTCACAGAAAACCAGCACCAACCAGCCCAAACCAGCACCAGCACCAACCAGCGAACAGGCTCAATGTATCGTCTGAAATACAGTTTGAAGTAGTAGTGAAGCGGTGACAATGATGTTAATATATTTTAGTGCTGATATAAATGTTGTTATAACCTCCATTTGGTAAAATTCCTGCACGGGTTATTCTGTGTTTCATCAGAAAATTTTCTTCACTCTTTCCATTCCTGTTTTTTTATTTGCAAATTTAATTTTTGTTCCTTGCAGTTTTTTTGAGTCCTTTGATTGTTGTATGGGTTTTTTCAGAGTTATAAGTTACTTCCTCTGTCCCAAATTATAAGATATTTTGGCATTTTCTAGATCCATAGCATGCTATGTATCTAGACATAGACATAACATATATTTAGGTGCATATCAAAAGATATGAATCTAGAAAAAGCCAAAACGTCTTATAATTTGAAATGGAGGGAGTATTTGGTGCCTTCTATTAGCATATATCGAACTTATCAGCTTGGCTTATCAATTATCGTACAGTGTTTTTCTCTCACAACAAAACATAGTCGGTTTATCTGCCGCAGAAACCATTAGCCAAACAGATGCCTATGTGCATTGTCCCTCGCAAGTACTGTCCTTCGTTGTTCGTTCCATTCTATCCTTACTGGGCTGGTTTTCGCTCTTTGGCTTATGTTCCCAGTTCCCACCTAGCTAGGTGAGCAGCAAATGGTTCTCTAATTAATTCCTGGAAATACTTTCATTCCAAACAGGCCCTACCGTATTACGGGTAAGAGTAACTGGCCAAGTTAAGCCTTTGCCAAATCCACAATCAACCACGTTAGTGTCTCTTATGGCCATATACAAAATAGATAGGAACTCTAATTTCATCCTTATTTCTGTCTAACACGCCCGATGTCACAGTTGACGTTGAACTATTTCTCTTGATCCCTACAATGCAAGCTATACATACACTTGTACTTTGGGGCTTGGGCTCGGGGTGGACATTCCGTTAGCGGGTAGGAGTCAGACGGCACTGAGTCGCTGAGTCAGGTGTACTTGGGAGTGGGCATCTTCTCAGGCAGCGTTGGCAGCGTCACCTCACACTGAAGCATGCTCACAGCCTGCCTGATGGAAGGCCGCAGGCTGGGGTCTGGATGGGCGCACGCCAGCCCGACGACCATCACACGCTCCATCTCGCCGTGGTCGAACTCGCCGTCCATCCGCTCGTCGGCGGCTTCAAGAACGGACCCTCTCCCATACAGGCCCCAGACCCATTCCACGAGGCGCGTCCTGCCCTGGTCCTGGTGCTCCGCCTGGTCGAGCACCACGGGCGGGCGGCCGCAGGCGATCTCGAGGAGCACGACGCCGAAGCTGTACACGTCGGACTCTGGACCCGCGCGGCCTGTGACGAGGCACTCCGGGTCCATGTAGCCCATGGTGCCAGCGAGGTTGGTGGTGTGGGAACCGCGGCCGTCGCTACTACAGAATGGACTTAGTTGTGCCGAACGGTAACGACCTTTAGTCCTGTTTACCGCGCCGGAACAACAATACCGGGACTAAAGATGCCATCTTTAGTTCCGGGTCATCTAGCCGGGACTAAAGGCCCTCCAGCCGAGTAAACATGGCCGCACTCTTTAGTCCCGGTTGGTAACCCCAACCGGAACTAAAGGTTTCTTTTCTTTTTCTTTTTTTGTTTAATTTGTTTTCAGTTCAGTTACATATATTTGTTTAATATATAATATGTTTTTATGTACGTATTCTACGCTGCTAATATAAATACACGCACGCATATAATTACATCTAATTCTCATCTCAAGCATTATTATATTCGAATAAAGTATGAACCTATATATATTATAGATATATATATATATATGTATATATACAACACTTTTATAATCTTGTTCTCGAAAATAACGATATCAATAAACATTTAATTTACACCATTTATTTCTTAGGATAAAAGTAGAACTCGTCGTTGGGATTTAGCACTTTTTCTAGAAGAAATCCAGCTATTGACTCTTGAACTGCTTTCAGATGGTCTTTTTGCATGACCTTTTGTTTCAACCATTCAGTCTTGCATTTGAAATAAAAGGAAAAGTATTAATACATACATATATATATATATATTCATTTAAAAATAAATAAAAAATTGATATATACGTACTCTAAGGACATCTTTAGGAGTTCTTCTTATGTGCACAGTGATAAATTCACAAACATAGTATCCACACAAGTTATTATCTAGTTGCTGCCGCAAACATCACTGTACGAGAAGAAGATTATTCTCATCATCTCACACGCAAATTGAAATACGATATAGTAATTAAACACGTGGGGAAGTATATATAGTACAACTTACTGGTATTTCAACTACATTAAGTGGTGCCTTGCAATCCTTACGGTGTTGCCGAATAAACTTTTTCCAAACCCTGTGCGACCAATAATGTACGATCGTTAATAAATTATGACAAAGTCTATTCAATAATAGTTGTGCGCGAGAGATCGAAATTACCCCTGGATAATGTCTATCATATCTTGGTATACTGCCCGCTCTTTTCTCTTCGAGTCCAAGATTACTAACCGACTTGAGTTTAACTCAATGACAATGAGTATCCAGTGAAACCTACATTGGTTTATACACACACGTACATGCATATAAGTTGTATTGATATTACATAAAATGTGTAGACTATATTATTATTAACACTTACTCAAAGCTGTATGGGAAAAGTATTGTTGTCTTGTCATGCTGCTTCACGAAGAACCTCATGATATTTTTCTGTGCTTTAGATACCCACTGCTCCTTGGAAATAATATCGGTTTTGAATACGATATAAGGATCAATGAAGCCAACACTGGTGTCTTGTATTCTTTGAAGCTCTGACATCTGGAATCTGTATATAAATATAAGTTACATGTGAGGATAATTATATACACGTACGCATGGAAGTGAGTTTATTAAATAAAAGTAAGAATCACTTACAAACAAAAGGAGCTAATGATTGATTTATCCAGAGCGTCCATGTGGTATAGTTGATGCAATTCTTCGAAACTAATATGTAAGATGTCATCGCCACGAAAGTAATGATGGTCTCTAAATCTGACAAAGATCCATTCCTCACCCCTGCCACACGCCTGCATATACCACTTATTGAGCAAGTACATTTGCGTACCCAATTCATTCAGAGCCGCAGGGTTGTACAGACTTTTGCCATATTTATAAGTCTTCCAGGTATCAACTTCCAGGTTCTGGATTGGAGCTTTGCCCGTCAATTGATCCAAGGTTAAACCAGTATCTTCAAAAAAAGCATTAAGGGCTTGAACCGACACTTCTCCAGAGTTGTCTGGTCGATAGACTTCTATGTTGGAACCATATTCATTAGCAACAATAAGATTTTGCATTGATTACTTCTGTTGTCTGAGCTGTGGAACATCCTTCCCTGATGCTCTTTTCCTTTTCTTATCTGCATCATGTGACTTCACGAGGGAGCGGTCATAGTCTGATAGTGGCGAAGGCTTACGAAGTTTAATCATCTTTTTCTTGTGAGCATCGACCTTCTGCCTCAGCACATCTCGTGGTATGTAAAAGTACGGCTTCTCCTTAAGCTTCGCTTGACTCTTGTTTTTGATATCTATAACTTAAGCTTCACTTGACTCTTGTTTTTTATATCTATAAAAAAATCTTTCACTTTTTTGTCTTCTTCAGCTGCTATTTGCTCATCAGTCTTTTCAGGAAGTATTTCTTAAAAAATAACTCTTTTTCTCGGGGTCTTCTTTGCCGTCGGGACCTTAGAAGTCTTTGTAGTGCGTCGTTGTGGAGGGGGTGGGGGCGGTGTTGGAGACCGACGTGGAGGCGTTGGAGATCGGTGTGGAGGCGGTGGGGCCGGTGTAGGAGTTGGAGATCATTGTGGAGGCGATGGGGCCGGTGTAGGAGTTGGCGATCGCCGTGGGGATGAAGTCGTCTCGCCCCCCATGACGCTGTGATAAGATGGGGAATGAATGATTAGGCTAGGCTGGGGGGAGACCCTGCTACAAAAACAAGTTGTGTGTCAATTATTTTTGAAGCCAATAGAAAATTAATGGAAAATAATATTTCATTCACTTTCATTCGTACCTAGGGTGAGGTAGGGGAAGCGGTGGCGCTCCAGGAATGATGATGAAGCGTTTGCGCCATTGAATAAATGTCTTCTCTGCTTCTCCTAGTGTCTTCTCCCCATCACCGCCTTCAATGTCAAGAGGAACATTGCTGTAACCTTTGAGCACTCTATCGACTGAGACGCTAGCATATCCAGGTTGAATAACTGACCCATGGATTATTGGTGTCTTCGTTCGGTCTATTGGAGATACAACCTCGACAGCCACCATGATTGATGCATTATTATCATCTGGAATGTGCAGCTCACATGTTGTTAGAGGCTCGGTAATGTCATCAATAGGGAAGCGCAACCCAGCGTCATCTTGAATAACTGGCAGCTCCGTAGAAGCACAACTGCTTTTCATCTGACCAACGGGGCTAATGGTGACTCCCGGCGTTGATTGTGATTGCATTTGACTCATTGCTAGCTGCACTTGCCTCTTGATCTCCTCCTGCATTTTTGCCTCAAGAGATTTTTCTCGTTCACGTGATTCAAGCAATGCTTGTTGTGACTCATCAACAAATTGCTCCAATGCACGGATTCATTCTGCCTCCTCATCCTTCTTTCTCTAGCGGCTTCTGTAGGTATCCTTGTCTGCTGGGAATGCATGTAGCCACGGAACCGCCCCATAGCCTCTTGTTCGACCACCGTGTTCGGGATTCTCTAGGGCATATATCAATTTATCCTTCTCTATATTGGGCTTAAAAACACCACTATCAGCTTCTTCCTTAGCACGAGCTAGTCTCTGTGTTGCTCTCTTAATTTTTTGGTCGAAAATTAGCTTGCCAGTGTCTAGGTCTAGGCTTCCCCCATGAGCGTAGAACCAATTCTTCGCGCGTTGAGGCCAGTTCTTCTCTATTGTTTCAGGTATGATTTCCTTGGCAGTAATCTCTGCTTCTAGGTTCTGCCACTTAGGAATAGCGCACTCCTATAACCACCTGATCCCATACGATGATGGTATTGCTTCTGTCGGGCATTCTGCCGATTCCTCATCACACGTTCCTCACTGTCTTGAGATGTCTTGTATTCTACGAAGGCATCCCAATGGGACTCTAACTTGACAAACGCCTTAGCATTGAAATCCGGCGTAGCATTCTTCAAGATAAACTTTTTATACAATGTCTTCTTCCAACTCTGGAACAATGTTGCCATCTTCTTCATTGTCCAATCCCTCACTAGCTCCTTCAAAGCATCATCTGCTTGTAATATGAAATGCTGAGTGATATCTCTCCAAGCTAGGTTCTTGTCACGATCAGATACAAAACTAACATTAGGAGCAGATATCTTCTGCTTCCATTCATGAGCACTAACTGGGATCCTATCCCTTACAATGAACCCACATTGATTGACATATGTCTGAGCATGTGGTCCCAATGGTTTGCCGGTGTCGGTGTCGAATTCTGATATTATGAAACGGCCCTCTAATGGCTTTTTTTTGGCCCTCGGACTTTCCTACTTTTGTCGGTGGTTGATGTAGATCCAGAGACCGGCTACATGAGTAGAAACACAACGATTAACAATAAATATACGTACGCATGCATCTATAAGAGATGATAGATAATCGAATATACCTCGCTAGTATTTTCTTGCGCGACAATTTGTTGATCTTCAACCACCGGCATATTCAGGATATCCTCATAATCAGCAAAGTAATGACTCGTGTCATCTACATCCACATTGGTGTCGGTGTTGATAATATCCGCCATTATGTCATCACTCAAGTTATCATCCGAAGCAGCCATTTGTATCTTCAAGATAACACATAGATAGAATTACTATGGTACATAACATAAGTACATGTGATAACACATATAGAATTACTAAATCCAATTAAATATAATAACACATAATATTTCATAAGGATAAACAATAATAAGGTATAGGCTTTGGAATCGAATAAAAAACACTTTCGATCCAAAAATATAGAAATAAGTACATGTATATATATACACATAGAATGATACAATATATTTTCTCTATCTCTCAACACATAGAAATAAGTGCATATGTCTATATCTCTAGATATGCATGTGATAACCCATAGAATGTCTCTCTAGATACAATTTTTTCTCTCTCTCAACACATGAAAATAAGTACATGTATATATACATATAGAAATAATTAAGTACATATGTATACATATAGAATCTCTCTCTAGATATATATAGAGAGATAGAATATATAATTACTAAATCCAATTAAATAAATCTAACATAAAATTAGATAAACTAGTAATAGATAATACATTTTAATCTAACATATATCAAAAACTATAATAAAAAACTATCTAAAAAAAC